GGCATGACAAACTTGGGCGGAATCGTTGTTGCGTTCGCACAGATGCACTTGTACGCGGTCAGGAAGGCGTCCCAGTAGGCGTGCGCCGTCGTCGACTCGGTCAAGAGCTCCTGCGGCAAGAGTCGGTGGCCACCCCGGAGACCCACAAGCGCATCTTGCGTCACATACGGCAAGAGCAAGCTCGTCTCGGCACGACACATGACCTCGTACCACCGACCCAGCGGATAGCCACGCAGCGCTTCCGGCCACAGCGCGGTCGTCGGTGTCACGTACGAGCGGCCAAGGACGAACGACTTGGTCGCACTCACGCTCTCGTACGTCGCGAGTGCTTCGATCACCGTGGCCCACGTGTGCACCGTGTTGAAGACATACTTGTGCGTCTTGAGATCGCGCTTCCGACTCTCAGCCAGCGTCGTGCATGTGAGACCGACCGACCAAAAGAGCAGTCCGAGCTCGAGACCGTGCCATTGGCGTGGCCATGCAGCAGCGTCACCTGGGACGACAAAGTCGATGGCGACGCCACTGCCCGGCGGCACAACGTGCGTGTAGTACCGCTGCAACAAGTCCATGAGGTCGTCCCAGAGCGGAAGTCGCTGGCAGTAACCGAGGTCGCCAAGGCGAGCCATCTGCGCGTCCGAGAGCTGGTAAAAATGAGCTTCCAGCTCCGGCACGACGTCCGCAAGAACGTACGTCCACGACCGATGCCACGCACTTGTGTGCACAAACGTCGCCTGCGCCGGGATCGCCGTCGTCTGGTGCGTCGCGACATGCTCTTCGAGGGCGGCGATCATGGCAGCGAACGGCACCGCGTCGATCTCGTCAAAGAGCGATGCGCCCGTTGGGATCAGCCGACCGTCCTGACGCCACACAAACCCGATCGCATCCAATGCTAAGACGTAGCGCACGGGAAGGTAGCACGTGCGCAGCGTCTTGACAGAGGCGCCGAGGCGCATGCCCGTCAAATGCAGCGGCCACGCTGTCGGCGTGTGGTCGAGGCGCGGGATGAAGAACGACAGTGGCACCTTGCAGTGGCCGTACAGCAGTCGGTAGACCTTGAGCGCCAAGAGCACGTCGAGCCAAGCGTCGTCGTCGATGGCGGTGCCGGCGCGGCGCGGCTTGGCTGGCGGCGACAGGGGTCGCTTGAGGTTCATGGCCGGTCTGTCTGGTGGTGGTCGATGGCGTCCTTCGCTGTGATTGGCCAATTCAGGCGGAGGCGCTTTTTCCCCGCCCTTTTTGACCAAACAAAAACTGACTTACTGCAGGACAACCTGTACATCATTAGGGTCATGATTTCGGCGATATCTCAATTAGTCGCTAAGTCTCTAGTCGCTTTCGAACGCGCTAGTCGAAGCTCTTTAGTCGACGCAAAGAAGTGGCGGGACACGGGATTTACGAATGGACAGAGCTGGACTGTGACGGGGTGGACTATGGACGCTATGTCGCATTGCCACACTAGACGCAAGAAGACTTCGGGTGTTGATACTGTGTCTTCGGAAGCGCAATAATAACCACCCGCGTCGCAGTGGTTGGTGCTCATCACCGCAACTGTACTCGTACGTCAAGAGGTTGCCTACAGTCCAAGATAGCACCGAGCTGCACAGTGCACCCACCGAGCTGCCTCATGGTCGCCGAGCTCTTGCTTATCGAGGGCCTTCAGTCTCCGCTGCGCCAAGGTATCAGTTGACCCTCGGCTGCGAATGAAGTTTGGCGTGTTTGGCGGGAACAGCATCGAAGTTGATCGACTCTTCGAAATTCGGTTGCAGGTCAACGGGCACGAGCGCTCAAGCAGCTTGAGAGCGAGGTAGACAGTCGCCAGCACAGCGTATGGCATACGCGGCGCCCAGCAACAGCATCGACTTCTGTCGCCAGCAGCAGCGTCGTCCGCGCCTTGTTTAATGTCTGTAGCTAAGTAAAAAACATACTGGTTGGGCCGCATGTGGCTCTGCGCGGGCGTTCTGCCGACGCTCACGCCCACGCTACGCAGCAACCGTGCTAGGACAGAGCACGCACGGAGGGCGCTAGTATCGCCTGGCACTTCTCGCTGCAGCGGGTGGATGGCCGAGTCGAAATGGGTTTAAAACAATTATGCGTAAGTTTAAAACATGTTTAAAACACTGGCACGGTGTTGGATTGAAGAGGATGACGCTGGTGTGGGCGACCCAGCTCCAGGCATGGATCATCTACCGCTACCTCCACGGCCATTGCCGCATCCCGTACTACTATGTGGTCCCAGCCACTGATCTGTGGCCGACATCGCTGCGTGGTGTCGCGCTTGGCAAGTCCTCGTCAGCTACCCGCTACGATGCGGCCATGTACGCGCCCGACCGCTTTGCGCAGCTGGACGCGATGGGCTTTGAATGGTCGCCGCCGCCAAGGAACATGCACCGCAGCGTCGTCTACGTCAACGGCGCCGTCAGCGTCCGCCACGTTCCGCTGCCCGCGCTCGTCCGTGCCCTTGAAGTCTTCCGTGAGCGCCACGGCCATCTCGTCGTGCCCGACGACTTTCTCGTGCCAGAGAACGACGCTGCGTGGCCGCACGAAGCGTCGAATGTGCTGCTCGCGCGCGCTCCTCAGACGCTCTGCGCTCACTTTTTTGAGCTCTCGGACGCCGATGTGGCGACGGTGCATGGCCTCTCGCTCTGCAACGGGCTGCCGCGTTGGGGCGACGCCAAGCAGCTCCTCGCGCTCTACGTCAAGAGCACCGGTGAACACACTGTGCCCATCGAGTTTGTCGTCCCGGCGGCGGCGCCGTGGCCGCAACGTTTCCATCACGCGTTGCTTGGCGAGCTCGCCTGGTACCTTGGCCGCAAGCGCCACGTGCTGCCACACGCCATGCTGCCCGAGCTCGACGCGCTCGGCATCGTCTTTGAAACCCCGGCGACATGGGCGGGCATCGTGCGCGGCCTTCGCATGCATGTTGCCAAGGTCGGTGATGCCGATGTCCCGAGCGACTTTGTCGTGCCCGACGACTGGGATCGACCGCTGGTTGGCCTACGCCTCGGCCGCTATGTGGTCGAGCTTCGAAAGGCTGTGGCGCTACTACTAGTTCCGAAAGAGACGCTATTGGCGCTCAGCACGCTTGTCGAGCTGCCGCCCGAAGTGACGCCGGCGCTACTGCGCTACGCTCCCCGCCCCGTGTCGCCGTCGCGCAAGCGCCGCCGGGTCGATCTCCGCGGCATCGACGACGAGAAGGTCGACGCGCTCGCTCTGTACCGCCACCTCTTTGGCGACCTCGCGGTCCCGCGGGACTTTGTCGTCGACTACTTCGACGATCGGTGGCCCGCGCCCTTGGGCGGATGGGCGCTTGGGGCCTACGCCGTGTCGCTAAGGCACCGACGGCACTTGTTGCCGCCGGAGAAGCTTGCGTCGCTCGACGCCCTCGGCTTTCTCTGGCAGCTCAAACCCGGTGCGATCTCGGTCACAACGTCGCTCTCACGCAAAGTAGCCACGTTCTCCGTGCTCCTGGCCGCGCTACGCGCTTACAAGGCAAAGACGGGCCACGTCATCGTCCCGCCCGGCTTCAGTGTGCCGTTGCGCGCTCCATGGCCGTCGGACGCAGCCGGCATCAACTTGAGGCCTGTCCTGACGCTGCTGCGACACCACTTTTACGACCTGAGCGCCAATGAAGCGGAGGATCTCCATGCACTCGGCATTTGCTCCGACCTGCCGTCGTGGGCGTCGTTGCTGGAGCTCCTACGATGCTACACGGCGCAGTTTGGCCACGGCGGCATCGGCCTCGACTTTATCGTGCCGTCGACAAGTGCGTGGCCGACGCAGTGGCACAAGGCGCCGCTCGGTGAGATCGCGTACAGCGTCGGCCTCCTCGTGGCGGGGTTTGCTGCCGACAAGGTGCAGCAGTTGAGCGACACGGGGTTCCTCTTCAACACGCCAGCGACATGGGCGCGCATCGTCGACGGGCTGCGGCTGTACCACCGCTTCAACGGCTGCATCGACGTCCCTCCAGCATTCGTCGTGCCGTACTATCCTGCGTGGCCGATCAACCTTCACGGACTGCCCCTCGGCCGCTTGTATCACTTCTTTAACGCAGCACAGGCGGTGCAGATGCTGCCGTCGGCAACGCAGCTGGACGTCGCGGGCTTTGCAAATGTGGCACCGACACCCGACACGGCGGCGCTGTGGGCAGTCGTTCTCGACGCTCTCTCGACGTTCCGCTCGGTGTTTGGCCACACGGAGGTGCCAAGTGACTTTGCCGTGCCAGCAACCGCGCCATGGCGACCCGACAGCCACGGGCTGCAGCTCGGTGCCGTCGTTACCTTTCTGAAGACGCGTCGGTCGATGCATGCGCAGTACAAGGCGCCGCTGGCCGCGCTCGGTGTCATGTCGCCCACAACGACGATCGCAACTGCTTCCGAAACCACAGACGACGTGCCGACTCGCCCACCGTCGTCGTCGCCAGCGGTTGGCGACGATCGTCCGGTTGGCATTGCCCCAAGGCAGCCCGATCCTCCGATCGCTGCTACCAAACCGGCGCGCTGTCTCTGGAGTCATACGCTTGCCGACAAGCTGGAAGCGCTCGCTTGGTTTCGCGCCGAGCACGGGCACCTCGTCGCCCCGAAACGGTACGTCGTGCCGATGTACTACCCGACGCATCTGCACGGCATAAGGCTCCACGACGTGGTCGCGTCGTTGCGCGCGGCCACCGAGGGGCTCCCGTCCGAGCTGGAGGCTGCGCTCGACGCGATCGGCTTTCCCTGGCACCCGACGCCGTCGACGCTGCGCTGTATAACGCGCCTTCCTGGCGTAACAACCGTCGGAACCCGCTTCGTGCCACTGCACACCGTGTTCCAAGCGCTCTTCGTGTTCCGCCGTCTCTTTGGCCCCGTCGAGATTCTGCCGGGCTTTCTTGTCCCGGCCAACGACAGCATTTGGCCGGCGCCGACGCATCACATAGACCTCTCGTGCGCCGTCGATGCCATTCGAACTCACTTGTACGAACTCCCCGACGCCGACTTTCAGTGGACGCAAACACTCGAGTTGGCGCCCGATTTGCCAGACTTTGACGGCGTCCTCGGGCTCCTGCGCGTGTACCGCGCCACGTTTGGCACGGGGGCCGTGGCCCGCGACTTTGCCGTGCCATTGAGTGGTGGCGATTGGCCGTCGGCGTGGCGCGGCTTGGCGCTCGGTGACCTTGCGTGGCGCATCGGCTTGAAGACATGGGCGCTCGAGCCGCGCAAGGTGAAGCTGCTCGACGACACGGGGTTTGTCTTCAACGATACGGAAACGTGGGCGCGGATCGTTGCGGGACTGCGACGATACTGCACCCTCTTTCATACGACGTCGGTGCCGCCGACGTATCGTGTGCCGCCGACGGAGGACTGGCCGCCGCATCTGCACAACATGGATCTCGGGCGCTGGGTCGCGACGCTCCTGTCGGCGCGAGAACTGCGGCTGCTGCCGCCGGCGACGCGGTCGACGGTTGATGCGCTGCTAGAAGCCGCTGCGAAAGATGAAGTGTCGCCACCACCAGCGTCGTCCGCCACCATTGCCGAGTGCGGTGCGTCGTTGCCTCGGCCGATCGTGCTGCCAGAGTCGACGCCGGTTGCTGCAGCTTCGTCCGAAGCTTTTGAACTCGACGACAGCGGTAGCGACAATGAAGGAGAATCACGCACTGCTCAAGACGACCAGTGCGAGTGTCTCGTTGCCGCCCCAGTGGTGGATTGCTTGACCGATCGTGCCGACTGGGTCATCTTCACCGGGGCGTTGCAGTCCTTCTTCCGTGACTTCGGACATGCGGACGTGCCATTTGACTTTGGCACAGTGGACGGTGTGCCGCTCGGGCACTTGGTGCAGCAGCTGCGCAACGGCGACATCGTGCTCTCGAGTCCACGCAAGGCCGACCTCCGCCAGCTTCATTTGCCGTCGTTTAGGTTCTAACACTGTACGATGACGGTTGTTGTTGAAACTTGATTTGGTACTAGTCCATTGTCACTGCAACACTATTCGAATAGTCACAGCCCCTGAATCCGCATTTCTGGGTGTGATAATATCAACTTGATACAAATAACGCAACAGAATTCAAAAGGACTCGATTCAACATGACAGTGAGCTTATGGCGCGTCATGCGCGGAGACGCCTTGAACGTGGATGAGTTTGCTGCTGCTGGTACCTGCCCGCCTCGCCACCGAAGCCTGCAGCACGTCGCGGATCACATCGTCGTGGCAGGGCACGCTGCGCCAACTCTTGATATCAAAAGCATAGAGCTTGCCGCGCCAGCGAAGCGAGACGAGGCCTGCCATCAACGCAAACACTGGATCGATGTCGGTACCAACCGTCCCTGCGTCTGGCGACAGGGCAAAGTAGCTGGCCGAGCTCAAATAGAGCGTTTGTAGTGTCATGGGCGATAGCGCTGGGAGGCGCCAACGCTCCAAGATGGCCGCCGTACCGACAATCGCGCATAGTGCAATCACGACGCCGGTTCCCACACCGCTGAGATGGCCAATCGTTATGCTTCCGGTGGTGCACACAAGCCCGGCGTCCATGTTGTCGTAGACGCATCGCCGGTGGAGCGACGCCGAGTAGCGCCGTGGCGCTTGGCAGCCGACGGCCACGGCCCACGTCAAGAGCGAGCTCTTCCACGCGTACGACGGCGTGTACTGCTGCGTGACGCCGCTCAGTAGATCGTTGAGCACGTAGACAAGCCACGTGAGTTCGGACTCGACGAGCACGACCTTGTACGACGGCGTCGACGGCACTTGCAGCATTGCGCTGGTTCCCATCTTTTGGAGCGTCAAGCCGCTCGTGTTGAGAAGCCAGAGAGCGGTGGCGCTACGGACGACGAGGAGGAGGCGGCCGACCCAGACATGCCCGACTATGCGGTTGAGGTCGAAGAGGCTGAAGGCGTCAATGGCGCCGAGCGATGTCATCGTGTAGCACACGATGAGCCCTGTGACGCCAATGAGCACGACAGTGACGTACTGGGCGCTCGTCCGAAACACGAAGCTCAGCGCCGTCGGGATCTCGGTCGGGTCGAGGACGATGACGACGGGACTCGTCGCGGCGGTGATGGGCCGCACGACCCCGAGATCACCTTGAAACGAAACAACCTCGCGCATGCCGACGACCCAATCGAAGAGAAAGCACCAGCCAAAGAACGGCCACGCGCGGTCGTCCGAGCTGTTGAAGAGGCGGCGTTGGTAGAGCTCCACGTGCGACGAAGCGTTGCGGAGGTACTGCGCCACAACGATGCCGAGGTCGTCGACGGTCGAATGGACAGCGGTGGCGAGTGGTGCGAGGGGCAACGCCGAGGTATAGGCAACTGCAAAGTCGTAGACATCGGCGTGAATGGTGGCGCACGTCGGTTCTGGAAACGCATCCGCCGCACAAAACTGGTCAAAATCCAACGTCGGATCGAGGACACTGGTCGCGTTCATGGCGACCAGCGCAAAGAGGAGCTGCAGTGACGACGGCGCGACTACCTCGGACCGCCACCAGCTGCACTGCGTCTCAAACCCGACAAAGGCCGTCAAGCCGATCGAAGTATCGACTGGCTCCAGGTCGCTGCCGCACACGAGGTTACCGCCGACGTTGCCGGGCGGGTTCGTCGCATGCAGCAGTTCCCACGGCGTCACGCCAACGTACGCTTTCTCTGGCAGCGCGGCAAAGCGCGACTGGGCGAGGCTGTCGGTGGTCGTCACGTTGGCGACCGCTGAGTTTAGCAGGACGTAGAGCTGTTGCAGCGGCGGCGGCACCGAGATATAGACCATGTCAACGACGCCAAATGGACCCAAGGTGTCTCGCAGCACACAGAGCCCGGCCTGCAACGGCGTCACTAGAGTCGTATTGACAAAAAGAAGTTGCTCGGGTGTCGTATTGGTAAATGCATACGTGGCACTCGCACGAAGCAGTGACGCACCCCCAATGCCACTGTCGTTGGTGGCGACGGCCCATAGATCGCTGGCCAACGACCAGTACATCCGCATCGACGTCTGTCGGTCCGTGTGCATCTCGGGGGGGAACGTCGCGATCGTTAGCGGATACGACAGCCCCCACGCCGTCGTCACCTCGATCGCGTCGTCGAATCCCGTGGTTTTGTAGTTTTGCCACTGGAGCCGGAAGGTCGAGAGACCCGAAGCTCGCCAGGATGAAACTTCGTCGTCCACCGAGTTGACAAAGCCTGCGGTCAATGCAGAGAGCCATTGCCGTCCGGTCGCTGACGTCTGCAGCGCAGAGCCAACACCGATTTCAAACGAACGGCCCCAACAGCGCTGCCAGGCAGACCAATCGTTGAGGTTGCGCAGCGGTGCCTCCAAGTAAACGGCGCCGCTCAATGACATGGAGGAGACGCACCGTGCTTGCCGTGCTGCCGACGAAGCCATGGCCCATTTCCGACCAAAGTCGAGCCAGCAGTACTGGGTGAACATCCACGGCAGCTGGCACGGGTCCATGGACCGGAGGCCGTCGACGACGGTCGTAAGTGTAATGGAGGCGTCGTCAAAGAGCTGACGCCGGGCGAGGTTGGGCTGCCACTGGGTAGCGTCGTGCGCGTCCGAGTACGCTGGTACCCCCAGCGTTGGCGTATCCAGTATGAGGTCGGGAATGTCGATCGAGGACATGGCGAGCGAAGTGAACGTCGAGGCGAGGAAAGCGTGGGTCCCCGACGTATTGAAGCCGGACCAGCCAAAGTCGTTGGCGAGCGATTCCGACATGACCGAGAGGTACGCTACATTACTCGACAGCGTCGCGACGAGGTACCCGAGACCCGTGACAAGCAACGGAACATGGTGCATTAGCTTGCGTTGCCGAGTCGCGGGGGTAGCTCGAATGCGAACCGAGTGCTGGAACCTGTTGGCAAAGGCAATAGAGCGTCGTCGCAGCGCCACGTCGTACGCATCACACACTAGAACCCTCCAGAGCTTCACGTCCGCAACGTACGCGACACCGCAAATTGAAAACGGTATGACGCCGCACAGAAACGCACTGGCGCCATCGAGCTCGACCGTCCCCGCCTTGACGCACGACCGTAGAGACAAGGGCAAGAGCCTGTGAAGAACCGCTTGACGCTCGGGCCGCGACAGCAGAGCTGCGCCGACGGCAACGCCAAGTAGCACAAGGCCAACGACCACAAGTCGGTGCCAACTGCCCACAGCGACAGAGCCACTCGAGCATGTGACAACCGTGAGGTCGTTCAAGTCGCACAAGCGCCCCAGAAAGACGCTCCATGTGACAGGCCAGCCCTGATCCAACCCCACGAGCGCCACAAATGCGCATGCAGCGCATCGCACCAGCATTTTGGCGGCTGGGCGACGTAAAATTGGCAGCACCACCTCGTACCAGAGACAGAGGAGCCACAGCGCTTCGCTCGACAGCGTCAAAGAAGCCCAGAGAGCGCGCGGTCTTGGATCGAGCTGAAGCGTTTTCGAGCTGTCGAGCACCGACGTCGGAGCCGTGGCGAGGCAGATGCAGGCCAAGGTGCCGCGGGCAGCCAAGGGATGCCGCGCCATCCAGACCGACGACACGATGGGGTTGAACATGCCCCACAAGGTGAAGCGGGTGCCGTAGCCAAGGACAATCGCCGCCGCTCCGACGGCGCCGAGAACACCGGACGTCATCGCCGCAAAGTACCACAAGTAAGGTCCGAGCGACGTTGGCGCCGGTGGCACAGAAGACACGGCCGCGGGGTACGCGACCGAGATGATGTTCATTGTTTGAACATCCCCTTGCAGCGAAATCACTTCACGCTCTCCGATAGCCCACTCATAGAGCATCATCCAGCCAAAGAAAGCAAAGGTAGCGTCAAGAAGCGGCTGCATCTCAACCGCTGGCGCTGCCATAGAGTTCGTCGGAAGCTGCGTCTGGTGGACCACGTACTGGAAGAGGCCAATGTCGAGACTGGTCAATGCAGCGGCGTCCAGAGGCAACACGCTTAGGTTTCGGGACAGGGTTTGCGCTGCCTCAAAGACGGCCAAGCAACCAGCTGCGTCGGTCGCTGCCACGCACGCAGCCGCGCCTTCCAGATGTGGAAGCTGTGTCAACGCAAAAACAGAGCCAACCAGCGACGACGCCAAAGTTAGCGGCATCTGGCGACTACAGACGTCGTCAAAGTTGAGTGTTTGCTGGACAAATGGCAGTGCGGCGCCGTAGATACACCACGGATTCCCGCTCACGAAACGCAGTGACGGGTCGGCCCACTGAACGGGGCGGAGTGGAAGCACGGCTGGTGCCACCAGAAGCGCGTGCAACGTGGGCGATGCAGTGAATGCGGTAATCATCTGCGACCGAAAGGCTGTTGCTGCCGCTACAAAGGCCGGCGGCGGCGTCAGCCACTTGGCGTCGAGCGCTGCGATAGCGCCCACTTGATCGTGGAGGGCGCGACTCGCGCCAGACAGCGGACACGACACGCTGTAGCACTCCATAATGTCGGGCGTCGTATCGGCAAAGTAGTTAGTCGTACTTCGCACCATGGACTGGATGGCGCTCATCGCGTACAAGTCGTTGAGCAAAAGGTCGTAGAAGACGCAGGTGTTGCGGAACCGCGCGCGGTTCACGCTTGGTATCGTCTTGAGCGGCCACGGAAGACGGATGCCCAGTGCGTTCTCGACCAAGACCGACTCGTGCAGACCAAAGGCCGTGCCAGTGCCGTCCGACCGATCTCCAAAACTGCGCTTCGTCTCCAAGGCTCCAGTGGGTGTGGGAAGTTAACGCGTCGAGCCAGGAGGCGCCGTACGGCCCGGTGGCAGCGATGGGCCCACCGACGTGCGCGTCGAATCGCCCTTGAGTAAAGTGCCGCCATGCGTCAAAGTCGATGTTCCGGAGGACCGCCGCGAGGTGCACCGCCGCGTTCGACGACTCAGCAACGACGCAGCGGGCTTGGCGCTTGGACGTGTAGGCGAGCTCCCATACTTTATCCAGGTCGACCCAGCAGTAGGGCGACACGAGCTCCGACACCTGCATCGCATTCAGCGTCCGCAGACTCGCAATCGACGAGGGTAGATCGGTCAGGTCGCTGTACACGAGCCGCCGGACGTACACCGTGTCGACGCCCGAGGTGAGTGAGCCGAGAATGGTCGCCGACGGCGCAAAGACGTCGACGGGCACGAATGCTGTCGCCGGTAGCACCGAGAGGTTGGTGTTTAGAATCTGTCGGAGCACCGGCGCCGTCGACCCAAACTGAGGCCAAAAGTAGTCGGTCGCCGTGTACGTCGCAAACCCTTCGAGAGCCGCAAAGCTGAGGGCGATCGATGCTGCCACGTACGTGACGCCCAGCGCGTGCTGGTACCACGGCACCGATGCCGACGTCACGGGCACGTCGAGTGCCACCCGCGCCACAACCATCGACGTCGGTTGGACTGGAAGTGAAACGCTAGTGGTATGTCTCACCAGAATAAGCCGGTTTGGTGTCCCTCATGCATTAGGGTTACTGTCCTAGCAAAGGACTAGGGTAGCAGCCACCACCAGACGTTGCTAAACCTGTAGTACGTGACATGTAGTGCACATGCGAGGCCGCCACAGAGCAGATTCAGAAAGCATACATTCACACTCCATCTCTACTTCTAGTGCTTGCCGTCGCCAAGAGCAACGTTCTCCAGCTGCACGTCGGACGGGTGCACGAGCGCAGCGTCCGTAGGAATGGGCTTGAGCACCGGCGGCGCGACGTCTTCGAGCGTCACCAAGCTCTCGAGATACGCTTTTGGACGCAAGAACGACGTCGAGCCTACGGCGAACCTCTCGTGCTTGCATCTGGAACACCGATGGGACGTACCCAAGACCACGTCGCGCTTCTCGAGTTCGCGAACCTCGTACACGCTGCGCAGCTAGGTGCAAATGCATCATGCGGGACGGCGACAGAAGCAGTCTACCTCTGAGTACGTGGCACCGCCAGCGATAAACACAATGAGCTTCTCGCCCGTAAATGCGTCCTTGGTCTAGGCACCGCATCGACGGTAAAGCGAAAGCGCAGATGCCAAGTCGTACCGTCGACGACGCGGCGTCCGAGCTTTTGCCCGTGACTTTGGCAGCAATTTTCCTAATAACGAGTCGCAAGCGTCCAGTTGCGCATACTGCGTACTTGCGCAACGACGTGGGCTCTGTCTTCTTGGCGGCGGTGGGGCTGCTGCTCGTGTTGCTTGTCGGTGGCGGTGCAATCACATACGGAAACTCGGTCGCATCCAGCGTCTTCTTGAGAAGCTTGTCCATCCAGCCCTTGAGCTTGGGCTCGTAGCGGGCCGTGGCGTACTCGGCGCTCGACGCCTTCTTGGCGGCGTCCTTGATCTCGTCCGACGTCAAGTTGTGCCCCGTTGCGTTCGAGACAACCGCGATCTTCTGCATGAACACGCCGAGGTACTTCATGTTCTGAAGCGCCTTGTCTGTCACCACCGGCAGCTGCGCGATCTGGAAGAGCTTGCGCCGGTCCGCGTCCTTGGCCGCATCCTAATCACACAGCATACTCTCTCGTCTCGACCGCTCGGACGCATATCGCACCTGCGTGATGATAAAGATGGCGAGTAGTCGGGCTTTGTCCGACGCGGGGATCTTGGGATCTCCGAGCAGGTCCTCCATGTCTTTCAGGACTTTGGGGAGCTTGATCTTCCTGCCGCTGTCGTCAACGCCGGTCGCGAGGCTCTGTTCGAGCGTCGAGACGCCGAGCAAGTTGTGCTTGGTGTACTCGTCCAGCGTCTTGCCGGCAAGGTACAGGTGCTGCGAGAGCTTGCTCAGCGTATCGCGAAACTCGGGCAACTCGCGCAGGGCCGCCGCGAGCTGGCTCACGTCCGGAGCCTTGCCTTTGCCTTGCAGCGACGTGCCGGCGTTTGACGCTGAGAGCGCGGCCATGCGCCCGCCGATATCCTTGCTCACTTCCTAGAAAAGTATCAATGTATCGAGAAACGATCAAGATAGCAAGTGCAAACTGCAATGTGCGTGTGGCGCAACTCGGTCCAGAGCGCGTCGTTTTCGTTCAGAAGCGCTTGCTTGGTCATCGTGCCCGTCTGCGTGTCGGCCGGGTAGCTGATCGAGTCGCCATGTAGCCCGGCGCCGTCGAGGAGGTCGTAGACCATGGCCTGGTACGTCACTTCGTGCACGAGCGGGCACAGCTGGTCTTGCGATCGCTCGACAAAAAGCAGGGTCGACCGCGACGGGCAGTAGGCAAACGCGCTGTTGGACGCGACGTACTCGTTCATCTTGGCCTGGAAGAGGCGCGCGAGGACCTCCATCTTTTGCTGCCCGGCCTTGTAGCGCACGTACGGATACTCTTCGAGGGTTGCGCAAGCCGTCACGAGCTGCGCGCTCATGCGCTGGAGCAGCGGGTCGACGCTAAGGGCCGCGTGCGGCGAGTAGAGTGTATGGAGTGCGTTGGGCAGATCGAGCGAGAACGCTGCGCGCTCGAGCGCTAAAAAGTCGACGTTGACCTCCTTGAGCGTGCGAAGGCGCGGCAAGAGCGCGGGACAGGCCTTGAACTTGGCCACGTCATCGGACGTGGCACGCGCGTTGAAGAAGATGTGCACCGACCCGTACATGGGCTTGTCGAGGACCTTGAAGTCGGCGAGCACCTTGTCGATCGACGACGGCGCGATAAAGTAGATGGCCGCCATCTCTGGGAACGGCTGCCGCACGAGCTCGAGCCGCTCGACGATCGAGACCCCGCGCTCCGTGAGGTCCGTCATGCGCACGACAGGCGAGGCGACGGCCGTCGTCGCATCGTCGAGCACGAGGACGACCCAGCCGCGCGAAGCCACGCTCGTGGCCTTGATCATCTTCTCGAGGAGGTTGGTCTGGACCTGCGTCCGCAGGTTGGGGCTCTCGGCCATCGTCGTCAAAATCTCCAACTGGCCCGTAACGACCCGGTCGCAAAAATCACGTTCATTGGTTAAAATACGACGGTATGGCGAAAGGCCATTGGTGCGATCTTTGCAATATATACGCGATCGGGATTGGCTGAAATCAAAGTGCAAACACGATGTGATTGGGCGGTTTTAGATGCACATACCAGATCAAAAATCTAGTGTCCGACGCAACCAGATCCCGTCTGGTTCCAAACTGAAAACTACACAGGATGATTCATACACGTGTGACACTTAGTAGGCGGGTTTGACGTCGACAGCGAAGCTGTTGGGCGAGAGTACGTCTGCTTCGACTTTGACGCTACCAGAATGTACCACATGTGAATCTGGCCTTGGAAACGCGTGGTCCTGGAGCAGACTCTGCACGAGCTCATCGAGCTCGTCAAACGAGTCGTGGAGAAATGCGACAAAGAACCCGAGCGGCATCTCCCGCGCGCCGTCGAGCCACACGTCCGAGTCGGCAGGCAGCGTAAACAACAGCGGCACCGCCGTCGAGCCGTGGAAGCTCGCATACTGCATGAGCGTCGAGAGGATGAGCGACATGTCAAAGACAACTTCATCTGGCCGCGGGTCCGCAGGACGGCCGACCAAGAGCGACACCGAGGCGTGATACGCCAGCGTCATGCGCTCCATGTAGGCGCGGCGCTTGGCAACGACGAGGCCGAGCGGGTAGCCCCGTAGCTCGTCCGGGACGTGTGGCGAAGACGGTAGCACCAACGACGGTGGCACGGACGACGCCGGCACGAGGCGCGCAGCGTCCGCAAGCAGCTCAAAGTCCACCGACGCCCACTCGAATCCGAGGTCGTGGAGCGCTGTGGCCTTCTCGGGGGCCATGGCAGCCGCTCCAATGTCCCGCAGCCACATGACAATGAGGCCGAGCGGTAGATCCCAGAGCGACGCGTCCCATCGCGGGCAACTGGGGACGCGGAAGGACGCTGGGACGTGAAGGTGGTAGAAGCGTTCCTGGTACGTCTGTAGCGCGAGAAGCTTGGCGCGCCACCGAGCGCCGACGTCGTACTGGAGTCGGAGCAGTGGCGCCGCGTACGCCGGCGACGACAAGACGGCGTCGACGTCGAGTCGCGTGAGGTACCTCCCGATCGGACCGCCCGAGAGACTGGCCGGCGCATCGACAATGTCAACGTCGGTGATTTGCCGGCCTGTGCGGCGAAGGGTCCAGCGCTTGAGTACGTGGAGGACGTCTCGCCACAAGGCAGCAACTGAGGCGTCCCAAACGAACCCAATGACGTCCAGACGGTACCGGTGCACGGGTTGCAAGCGGTCGGACGCCGCCCGAATCATCTCGACGGCAGCACCGAGCGTGAAGCCAGCAAATGCCGGTGGCCACGTGGCGACGCCCGCCGGTACGACAAAATCGCTTGGCACTAGTACATGCCCGTGCAGCTGATGGTAGACCTGGAGTGCCAACAGCCGCCGATCCCACTTGGAGTACATTCGCAGCTCGTCTGATGCAACGTCGCGCTTGATCGTCGCGTCGTCGGTGGCAGTCGCAGGCGCGATGACGGCAGAAGCAAGCACTTCACCGACAAGCGAAGGTTGCGGTGTCGAAGGCTCGGACTTTGGCGCCCACGGACCAACGGGCTTTCCGGACGTGTGTTCAGGTACGAGGCGGTCGTGTTGAGTGGCAAGCGCGGGCTCGTGCTGACGCAGCACGATACCCGCAGAGGCATTGACCGAGGCAGTTGTCGACGGTGGGAATGCGAGCATTTGCGCCGGAGCTTCATCCTTGACGGTCGCTTGAAGCTGCGAGGGCGACGCCACCGAAAGTGTCTTGGCTGCGAGTGGCGTGCAAGTAGTCACCTGCGCCTGTAGCAGCGGTTGTCGCCCTGCGAGGGAGGGTGTTGCCGGGGGGATGCTGTTGCCTTGTTGTCCCACCTTGAGCGAGGGGTCGATCCCGAGCTCTTCGATCTCATACTCTTTGCTCCATGCAACTGTCCGTGGCACGACGGCTCGCGGTACCGGTGCGCGTGTGTCCGTCGTTGTACTGGCACCTGACTTGCACGCCGAATGAGGCCAAGGCTCTGGACAAGGATCGGTGCCAGTCGCCAATGTCTTGGTCGCGGCCGTCGGTGTCGACAACGACTTTGGCCGCAAGGCAAGCGGTAGCGGCGGTCGACGCTGCTTGGCCCACCACGGTTGATCCACCAGCGACGGTGTCGATAGTGACACATGCTTCTCGGCGGCAACGACCGACGTCGACGGCAGTGGATGGCTCGGAAGGACCGTCGGCGCCGGTGTCGGTGCTTCGTCGTCTTCTGTCTCGTCAGCATCAAAAGCCAAGCCCATGTCCATGTCGTCCTCGGAGCAGGTTTCCGTGTCGTCGGGCGACCGGACAGGCACAGGACTCTCGGCTGGCGACAGCAGACAACTTGTCGCGATCTCATCGGCATCGTCGTCGCTGCGAAGCGCCTCGTTGTCGGCGTAGGACGTGACAGCTTGTGGCCGTCGAGTCGCGGGCCCCATGCTAAACTCGCCATCGCTCTGCGTCGCACTCTGGTCGTCGTCGAGATCGCTGATGGTCAAGTCAATGTCGCTGCCCACGCCCGAGAGGTCCCGCGGCGGCGACGTCAGAAACGGCGACAGCGCCGCCAGGATGCTAGCATCGAGCACAAGCGCGCGGTGCATCGCCAGCAAGCGCATGGTCCAGTAGCCAAGGCGGAGGCCTCGCAGAGCTGGCGGCCACCCGCGTCGACGCACGACAATGGTCGATGGCAATGGCTCGGCAGGATGTGACGTGTGGTAGTGTCGCAGCGCCTCGTCGATGCGGTCGAACGACGTCGAGACGTGCGCTGTTGTGAGCCACGCCTGGCGGTGTCGTGCCAGCTGCGGTTGCCGGCGGTGCAGTTGCCACGCGAGGTCCCCGAGCGGCGTGCCGGCGTGTCGACACCCGTACGGTACGACAAAGTCGATCGGGACGTCGCGATCGCACTCGGTCAAGAGCTGCGTGAGCGCAGGCCACGGCGGGATCTGGCGCAGGAACATGAGACTGTGCAGCCGCGTGAGCTGCTTGTCCGAGAGCTCGACCGCGTGCTTGGCCAGCATCTCGGGCACCCGAGCAAGCTCAACGTCCCACATGGCTCGTGGCCAGTTGGCGTGCTTGTGCGGCACGAGGAACATGGGCGCGATCGCGCGCCGGCCGTAGAGGTGGCGGTACATGTCGAGGGCGTCGATCTGGTCGTCAAAGGCGACGACGCGGAGGTACCCGCCGCGGCGCTTGACGTGCGTCACGCAGGGCGACGCGCCGCCGCCTGGTCGCCACGGAAAGCCCATCTCAATAAGCACGTCCAGCGTCGATGGCGGCAGCGTCGGCGCCGTGCGAAAGCTCTCGACGGCGTGCGCGAGGTCCATCCCGCCCATCACCGACGGCCAGTCGCTGTTGCCGCATGGTACCGTGTACGTTGGCGCAACCTCGCACGTGCCAAAGCGGTCACGGTAGACTCGCAGCGCTCCGAGCTTCTCGTCCCAGGACCACAGCCGCGGTGGCGAGACGTCGCGATGGCGGCGCTTCCGGCTCATGTCGTCTTTGTCGTCGTATGGCAGCCAGCCAAAAACACCCAACTTTCGGTCTTTGAAGTTTCCCGCGATTTTGCACACCTTGCACACGAGCGACGCAGGCAGCTGCTCACTCCCAGTATCCCTCAAGCGTCTGCAGGCTCCAGTATACTGGCGTCCACGGACCTCCTCTCGTAACCAGCGTTTTGACATGGCCCTTCTCTATGCAACAACCGCGCAGTTCAACGACCCATCTGGCGCTCAGTTCATGCAACAGTACGATCTAGTACATGGGCTATAAAACCCACAACTATAATAGCTCTCGACGATATGAACGCTATCGACGGCTACGCATCGAGGCTCGTGCGCGACACGGAGGACATGCTCCATCGGCGCGGCAAAGCGCCCGCAACGACAACGTTGACGGGCGACCCGGCGACGAACGCGTCTTCGTGAATGCACACTTCATCCTCGGCCGCCATCGTCGCCATCGCCGTCACCGCCATGCGGTCCCAGTCGACGGAGGCGTACTTGGCCGAGAGCACGAGCAGTTTGAAGCCGGCCGTGACGCAGATGCCGGCCCAGAGCCCGGCAAAGCCATAGTTGCAGTGGATCGCCAGTACGTAGCTCAGAGGTAGCTGCACGAGCCACATACCGGTGAAGACGACGCTCGACACGAACGGCATCTGGCCCATGCCGTTGAGTATGGCGGTGACGGTGATCTCGAGCGCGTCGACGCTAAAGCCGAGCACAAAGAGCGGCAGCACCGAGCCGCAGTGCGCCATCAGGTGCGCATCCGACGTGTAGATGCCGAGAATGGCCTCCTGGAAGCAGAGCAAGAGCCCAACGACGACGCCGACGACGACGAGAATCGTGGCAAAGCCGAGGCGGCTTGCACCCCGCGCCGCATCCGCTCGGCCCGCACCGAGATGATTCGCGACCTTGACCTGGGTCGCGCAGCCAAAGCCCCAAAAGAGCGCCCAGAGCAGGCCCCAGAGCGTGAGCAGAATCGCATTCGACGCTAAGATCTCGGCGCCCATGTGCGCAGCGATGAGCGACATGCACGAGTTGGCGAGCGTCGTAAAGCCGTCAATCATGCCGAGTGGGATCGCCATGCGGAGGAAGAGCCGCCACCGATCACGCGTGAAGGCCGACCAGTGCCACCCGCCCCACGCCTGCTTGTGGTAGCCGCGGTAGACAAACGCATAGAGGAAGAGCGACGTGGGCTGGAACCAAGACGCAAGGACAGTCGCGATAGCCGACCCGTCAAAGCCGAGGCCGTTCCAAGCACCGGCGCCATAGATGAGCACGTAGTTGGCAAGTATCGCGAGGCCGATCGAGATGGACCCGATCGCTGTCGTGGGCGCGACAATGTGCATGGCCTGGAGGTACTGCCGCATGCACGCATACGCCAGCGTCGGCCAAATGGCACCCGAGAGAATGCGGCTAAAGCGCGTGCCGAGGTCGACGATGACCGCGTCGTCGGTCGCGCGGACGAGGATCCGGTCGAGGCACCAGTAATAGCCGACAACGAAGCAAGCCAGGCACGAGACGAGCAGCAGCGCCATTTGAAACCAGACGCCCATGAGCGTAAAGTTGCGTGCGCCAAACGCTTGGCCGCAGAGCTACCGACGACATGAGAAAGCTCGACGACGTGTGCAATGCTACCGTGATGAGCGACGAGGACATGGCCCAGACAGAGAAGAGCGGCACTTGGGTCCAGATCGTGGCCAGCGACGCGGCCGCAAGCGACTCGGTGCCGAGGTGCCCGAGAAAGGCCGAGTCGATCGTCGTGAGTGCGATGCGCGTGATGTTGGCGAGCGCCACCTGCAGCGCCAGCGAGAGGTACGCGCGAAGCTCGTCGCGCCACGCAAATCCCTCGGCTTTTTGCAGCAGCGGGTGCCCTTCGACGACGTGCATGGCTCACCTCCACCTCTGCGAGCACTCGGAACGTTGCGATCTTTCGCAAAGATCCAAGAAGTAGCTTTGACGAACGGAAGAATGTGGTCGGTATGCCTCCATCGTGAAGCCCCACGGCAGAGACGCTCATCGTCCGTGCCTTGGGCGACCGCGATGGGTGGATCATGTGGACACGCAGGTGCGTCCGCAGCTGTCGCTTCCCGCAGTCTGCAACCCCTCGCCCACTGCAGCGCTATCCGAGCGGGGACTTCGCCGCAGGCTCCTTCTTCGCAGTCGAGTAGCTCGTGCGAATACTCCCAACACGGCTGCGCCTCGTGCCGCCCGCTTTCGCGCCGTCGCCCCGCATCCTGCGTGGTTGAAGTTGCGCTCATGCATATCTTTGAAGCGACCGAGTTCTTGAGGCGACCAAGGCCATGCGAACTTGACGTGTCTACTTGGGCGCGGTACCACGTGCAGGAGTAGCTTTCGGCGATGCAGCGACCTTCCTATGCGCCTGCAGCAGCGGCGCTGCCATGCGCCATGCATACGAGTCGCATTCCTCTGTAATGAGCGTTGTAATATCGACACGAGAGCCAAGATCGCAGCATATGCTGTCATCGAACGTCACGCTCGTCCAAGCCAAGTCCAGTTGCGGACCTGGCGCGTCGACAGGCATCGCACCGATGGGACATGCTCCAGCGATCTGTCCAGCGCTGCGCCCGTCGCTACCGCATCGTCGCCGGCCGCGCCGATCGATGGCGCCACCGTCCACTGCGCCACCGACGCGCCGACGCGCCACGTACCAGGTGCGCTCATACGATCCTCCACGCGCGGACGCCATCAGCCGTCTCTGCCAGCCTGCTGGCGCCCATCCCACGCCCGCTCTGCCCGACTCCATTCGGCATTACACCAGCGAATTCAAGCGCAAAAAGAAAACCCGATTTTAATACACTGTATCCGCGTGCATTTTATTCCGCACAGGGGGACCCACGGGTTTTGACGGCCCACCCACCTTGAAGCACCGCCTGCTGAGCCCTCTCGCTCTTTCATACAAGACGCAAGAGAGTATAGGGCAAGAAAATCAGATCTTATTTCGGTGGCGGTCGACTTCTACGCGCACGAGGACGGGGCTACCTACTTCGTCGGCAATTCACGATCGATGCTTGCACACAATGTCGGGTACGACCGGTGGTACTCGACGCATCGGCGAAGCCAAACAACAGCCGCATTAAAGGGGACCCGACTGATGTGATCATCGTAGGGGGGCCTACGTGATATAATTCCAAGCGCATTAAAAAGCCAGTTTTCGACCTTTTTTTGACTGCAACCGTCGAGAGATCAGGTTTTCTGGCGCAATTTTTACTTCTCTGGAATAAAAATACGCTGCGTCCCATACAAACTGCAAGTAAATTGTAAAAAAAGTGCGCGCTGTAACGCCACGCCGCGCTGGACGTAGAGTCCACTCCTTGCCGGCCTTTTTATTTGAAAATCGATTCTTACACTGGAAAATTGTATGTAATAAAATAAATGGAAGCCGCCAGGCGAATCGCGGGTTGTTATTCTTCGTTTTTCTGTGTGTGCGTCGGAGCCGCTATTACCTTTTTCCGCCGCCCGCCGAACCATGTCGTCGTCGTCCTCGAAGCCCAGCGACCGCCGGTGGAGCTTTGTCCGCGCGTCCGAATTCTTTAGCGGCGACGGCAAGCCCGACACGTACGCTATCGAATGGTGTAAAGCGCGTTGAAATCTGATGCGAACTGCGTGGCTAGGCTCGATATCCGTGGCATGACTGCGGCCGCGAAAGGCGTCTCGTCCAAGCGCCAGAAGTTCCGCATGAGCGTTGTCAAGAACGGCGTCACGATCTATGGCTCCAAGCCGTGCCCGAACGCCGAGCACGACCTGGGCCATGGCCTCTTGGGCCAGCCGGCGCCGGCGACCGGCGCCTCGACGCCGTTGAAGGACCGCGAACGTATTTTTATTGAAGACCCGCGCGCGCCGTGCCTCACGATCGACTATGGCAATGACACGTACAAGATGATGCCGTCGATCGAGCGCTTCTCCGCCCACACGGGCGTGTGTCAGATTCTCGGCACCAAGCTCATTCGCGGCGGGAAGCACCAGGTGCACGTCGGCGACATTTTGCGCTTTGGCTCGGTCGGCCTCCTCGTCACGGAGATTGACACGGGCCGCACGGGCACGTCGGACGCGTCGCTGTCGCCGTCGGACATTTCGCACCTCACGCAGCGCCTTGTCTGCCTCGACGAACACCAAGGCGACGTGGACAGCGGCGACGATACTGACGAGGCCAACGGCAACGAAGGGTCGCAGTGCGACGACCCGACTGCCACGCGCCTCTCGAACCGCAGCTCGTCGGTCGCAATCTGCTACGTGTGCTACGACGAGAGCGAAGACGACAACCCGCTCATTGCGCCCTGCAAGTGCTCGGGTGACACCAAGTACATCCATCTTAACTGCCTCAAGCGGTGGCACACGAACGGTGACAAGAACGAGATTTGCGCAGTCCTTGACGAGAGCGACGCGCGCACGTGCTCGATCTGCAAGGCCGCGTACCCGTCGCGCGTCAAGATCCCCGAGACAGGCACCTACGTCTCGCTGCTGCCAGACCGTCTGGACGCACCTAGCATCATGCTGCAGGTCGTTACGAAGCACTCGTCGTCGACGCTCAACACATCGACCCGGTACCAGCTCAGCTACAAGACGCTGCTCGGCCTCGAAGGCAGCCGTCCGCTCATGATTGGCCGCTCGTCGCAGTGCGACCTTGTGCTCAAGTACCGCACCGTCTCGACGATCCACGCCGAGCTGCACTACTCCAAGGGCGAGTGGTTTGTCAAGGACGCGGGCAGCTCGAACGGCACGTTGCGCTACATTTACCGCCCGCTCACGCTCGCCAACAACCAGATGCTGCACGTCAAGTTTGGCCGCACGGTGCTTTCGATCAAGCCCACAAAGAAGCTGCGGCTGCCATCGCTCTTTGGCATTGGCAAGCACGAGTCGAGCCAGCTCATTCGCGAAGACGACAACGACGAGCGGTCGCACCACCGTCACATGGACGAGTCGTCGCGCGCCCGGTCGGTCCAAGGCCGCGCCTTGTCGGCGGACGCGGTCGACGGCGCGAACCGCCGCCCCGGCGGCTCGATGAACGCGATGACGGAGGTGGCCCGCCGCTTGGACCACCTCGACATCAACAGTAGACAAAGCTAAGAAGCTTTTTTAAAGTATCGTGCGTGTTTTCTGAGTTTTTGTTTCAACTTTGTATCAAGTCGCCAAGCACGACGCGCGACCACACGGCTGGAAGAAGGCGCAGCGGCGGGTTGGTGGGACGCAGCACACAAGGAGGGCGGGGTCGGTGGCAACCGAAGCGCGATCGGCGCCACGGAGACAGAGATGGCGCAGTGTCGGTGGGCAGACCCACGCCGCCGCACCGTTGCCGGGACCACGCAGCGCCAAGCGTTGGAGGCGAGGGCACCGGTGGACTGCCGGCACCGCCGCCGCTTCTTCCATCCACTCGAGCTCGAGCGCGACCAGACTCAGAAGACGGGGCAGGATTTGCGAGAGGCAGTCGGCGGTCGCATCGTCCAGCTGGTGTAGGCTCAATCGAAGGTGGCTCAGTCGATGTAGTGTCGGGAGCGTCCGCAGCGTGTCAAGAAGTCCGGGCGTCGCGGTCGCGTCAAAATGGAGCGTCTCGAGGTGCGACTGCCGCAGCGCTACCGGTAGAAACGTGCCGACGATGGCGAATCCTTTGGTCAAACAGAGACTTTGCAGCGTCCGCGGCAAGGGCGTTTGCATGAAATCGAACGCGATACCGTTCGTGTCGTCGAGGTCGAGGATCCGCAGCGACCGCGACGCATGCAGGGCCATGGCGACGGCCTCGCACGCCACGTCCCCGAGATCGATGTGCCGCAGCCGCACTGCCTCGGCGCGGCCTGTGCCCAACCACGTTACTAGAAAGGTCACGGCGAACGGCGGGAGGCCGTGCACGCCGGGACAAGCGATCGTGAGGTCGGCGAGGCGCGGCAGGCGCGCGATGGTGGCCAGCAGCGGCGACAGTACCACGCCAGTCTGCGACGTGAGCCACGACAGCTCAAGAACTCGCAGATGGACGAACGAAGCCAGCACGCGCCGCGCGAGCGCAATGTCATGCAGCGTCGCGTCAGTGCGCAAGGCGAGCGAGAGCTCGACGATGCCGCCATGGCTGCCCATGTGGGCGACGGTGGACAGGGCGGCGGTTGAGCGCAGCGCAACACGCGTGCTCGCATGGCGGAGAAAAGGGAAGCGCGGAATAGGCGACGTGTCGATGCGCACGACGGGGCGCAAGGCCATGAGCTCGGCGGCGGCGACTGCGTGACCCGGGGACGTGAGCACGGCGACGCGGAGCTGCGGCCAGAGGTGGCACAGCGGCACAGCGGTTGAAAGCGTCCATAAGCTCTGGTACGGGAGGCTCAGGCTCTCGTACGGCAGCAGCGCGAGGAGCGTGCGGAGGCCAAACGGGCACGCGACGAAGCCGGCGATCCTCTCGACCAAGTCGGCGTTGCTGGCGACGGCTGCCATCGTGGCATGGATAGACGCACCCAACCATTTTGACCCAAAACTGCAAACCGTTGCTCGAATCAGCCATTATATGGTTGGCTAGATGGACGCCATTCCTCCACTTCAACTCAACCTCCATGGCACCAGAAGAGTTATATATGCGTTTACGGAGGCAGGCCGCTCGTAGGATTCGTCAGTAGGATTATGCTGTTGACATCATGGTTTGGTACCTACGTGGTGCATGACGCACCGCGATTGCGCGCCGCAATTGGCCGAGCTGCAACCCATCAAACGAACTCAAGTCCAAATGGCGTGCAACTAGACTGCTACCGAACTCGGCCGCCTTCGCAGACCCTTGTGATTGGCATGCCACACGACGACTGGCATGGCCGAGGAGGGACAGCGGCTGCTTGCGGCGACGGACGGCCACGACGTCCGCGGTCATTTTGCAGCGTTCGCCTCGCTGGCGCTGCAGGTCGCACTCGCCAACATCACGCGCATCGCGCTGCTTACGATCGATAATGCGTTCCTTGGGCACCTCGGGACGTCGGCGTTGGCGGCCGCGTCGCTCTCGTCGACGTGGATTCAAGTCCCGCTCTTCTCCGTGTGGGCCATGTCATCCGCGCTCGTGACTGTAAGCAAGCATCATCACTCTGAACGCGATGCTGACATTGCACTTTCGTAGCTCTGTGGCCAAGCGTACGGTGCGGCCAACAAGGTGCTCATGGGCGTTTGGCTTCAAATGGCGCTCCTGCTCGTCTCCTGCCTCGCGCTGCCCGTGATGGCCTGGTATATCTCGATCGACGTCATCTTGGTGCAGGCCACGGACGACGCGACCGTTGTTCGCCTTGGCGCCCGGTTTGCACGCGTCATGGCGCTCAGTGTCTGGCCAACACTCATCTACGCGTGTCTGCGCCAGTACCTCCAGGCCATGCACGTTGTGGCGCCGACGACAGTCAACGGTCTCGCGGCCATCGGCATCACGGTTGGCGCCAACTACGTTCTTATTTATGGTGCCGGCAACTGGCACGGCCTCGGCTTTGACGGATCACCGCTCGCCACCGTCATTGCTGCGTGGTTCCAGCCGATCGCGCTCTTCCTCTATGCATTCGTCTACAAGAAGTACCACAAGGACGCGTGGGGCGGCTGGAAACTCTCGGAGTTGACGTGGTCTCGCTGGAAGACGTTCTTCCGCATGGCGCTACCTCTGGGGCTGAACGATGCGCTCACGTACTTGGCGAATTCGTGCATGTCACTCGTCGTCGCGATGCTTGGCGTCGACGCGCTGGCCGCCAACGCTATTCTGCTCACGCTCTGGGTCATGCTCTGGGCGCTCTCGTTCGGTGTCGGGTGCGCGACCCAAGTGCACGTGGCGACCGCGCTCGGCGCGAATCGCCCGGCAGCCGCCCAGACGATGACTCGCATCGGTCTTGGCACTGTCGTCGCGACCACGGCGACGACAGCATCGGGGCTCTACCTTGGTCGCTCGTTTATCGTCGGCGTGTTTACAAGTGACGCGGACCTCGTCCGCCAATGCTATGCCGTACTGCCCCTGTACCTTCTCGCCTACGCGCTGGACGCCCTGGAGATCACGCTCACAGCGGTCCTCAACGGCATGGGCCAAATGCAATTCGTATCGGGCGTCTCGTTTGTCGGCATGTGGCTCGTGCAGCTCCCCGTCGCGTACGGACTCGCGATTCACCTTCAGTATGGCCTCCACGGGGTCTGGGTCGGATACGCTGTCACCGCGAGCTTCAAGCTCATGGTCCTCAGCGTCAAGCTCCTCTCGGTCGACTGGTCTGTCATGGCTCGACAGGCCATGGATGCTATGGAGTCGGAGACAACCGCCACTTGGCATGTCGAGGTGGCCGTGCCGTCGCCTGCGAACGCGGTCATGGAGCCGATTAACGAGCCCTGGCGGTTCCAAGAGACCGCGCTCTTGCCGCACCAGGACAAAGCGTAGCTATCGAAACGTGCGCGACAAGTACCAGTATAATAGACATGTGCCACAACACGCTGTTTGCAATACAGGAAGGAGGCTCGGGCTTCAAGTAGGGTTAGGGTCCTTCCCAACAGCCGATTTGGTGCGAATGGCCAATTGGGCTAGACTAGTACGATACTAATGAATTGCTGTAAAATAATGTGATCTATCAAAGCTAAATGAAAGTCACATGCCATGCGTCCCGCTCCTTGTTGTGGGTTGGCGGCGACGCTATGAGGTAGATGGAAGAGCTCCCGGACGACTCCCACGAAATGTCCTCGTCGACGTCGGTCGCAGTCGAGAGCTTTTGGTCGCCGGCCTCAGCCCCCGCCATGGCGTCATGAACCATCTTCTGCCAGTCGATGCAGAGGAAGCGGACGCTCATGATGGTCACCTTGACGGCCGCTGCGATTGTCGCCGCTGTCCACACGCCCAGAAGCCCAAGGTCCTTCACGATACCAAAGTAGTAGGCCAGTGGGAGCTGGACGCCCCAGAGAGCGACAGCCGTCGCGATCGACACAAACCCCATTTGGCCCATGCCCATAAAGGACGTGACGAGGCCCATATCGAGCGACCGCAAACTCGCAGCAGCAAGATACAGCGGAAGGACGTCCAAGAAGAGGACGACGATTCGGTCGTCGGTCGTAAAGACACCGACGACACTGCGTCGACCGAACCACAGGATACATGCGACAATGACAGCGACGCAGACGAGCGTTGCAAACCCGAGGTAGAAGCGGGCACGGGCGGCGCGCGGACGACTACCACCGAGGTGCTCAGCGAGTCCGACCGCAGCAGCCAACCCGACACCGACAAAAATGGCGTTGACCAGCGTGTAAATGCTGCTCAAGATCGCGTGGGTAGCAAGGACGTTGGCGCCCATCTTGGCGACGACAAACGAAAGCGCTGCAGCCGCGAGAAACTCGCAGCCTTCGTTGAGGCCGAGGGGCAGCGCCATGCGGAAGAACGTCTTCCAGCGAGACCACGTCAGCTCCGAGAGTTTCCAGCCGCCCCACGCGTCCTTGTGGTGCTTCTTGTAGACGAATGCATAGAGGAAGAGCGCAATCGGCTGGAACCACGCAGCAATGACAGTAGCCAGTGGCGACCCATCAAAGCCAAGGCCCGCCGTGTAGATGAGGAGGTAGTTGGCGCCAATGTCGACGCCGATGCAGACGATGCCGTTGATGGTGGTGGGCATGACGACGCCCATGGCTTGGAGGTACTGACGCAGACAGACGTACGCGAGGAGCGGCCAAATACTCGGCGACAAGAACTCGGCGAACCGCGCGCCAAAGGCGATGACAGCGGAATCGTCGGTCGTATGGTGCAGAATACCGCCGAGGAAGAAGTACCACACCATCGTCGGCACGGCCAAGACGGTGATCAAGATGAGCGCCATTTGCAGCCAGATGCCCATGAGGAGGTAGTTCTTGGCGCCGAACGCTTGGCCGCAGAGCTAATGAGATCGGTGCTCAGAAAGGAGATATAGAGGCGAGTGGCGTACCGCAATAAGGGCCGAGGCCATGCCACTGACAGTGTTGAGCGGAAACTCGATCCAGAGCGTCGCAAGGGACGCACCCGCGAGCTCGTTCGTGCCGACGTGGCCGAGGAATGCGCTGTCGATGACCGTAAGAGCGAGCCGCGCCACGTAGCTGACCACAAGCTGCAGCGACAAGACCAGGAACGGCAGTAACTCGGAGCGGAGGTTAAAGACGTCGTCGGTCAAGTCGGCCATCATGTTGATGTCGGTCCAATTCAAGAATGGTCCTTTGAAAGGGTGCGACGAAGTTATGATGGGCAACATCGGTACTGGAATCATTGGGTCGACAACACATCCTCGTGATCGGACGGCCACAGCTCTACAACCCGATTTCGCGCAGCAGGATAACCAACCTGCCAAAACCGAGTTCTGAGTCCTGCGTCCCAGGTACAATGTACACTCACCGATACACTGGGCCGACTGCGTCACATGACTGTACACGTATCGTATGAGTGCTCTCGGACGCAAATGAACGAAAATGGTATTTTCAAAAATCTCGGAATTGGCGACACGTAAGAATGGAAGCCCCGACGACCCCTCGCAAGCAAGCCCTCGCAAAAAACCCTCGCTGCGATTTGCAAGAGTGGGAGCGCTGACCACATTTTTCCTGCAGCACCATCTCCTGGGACAAGAGCGGCACATGTCTCGCCATCAACTTCCATTCTAGTAGCCTGTACGGGCATGCGTCGCCAGCAGCAGTCGCGCCCGTAGTGTGTGGTCATCCCGCTGGCTTAAACCATAGCTCTGACATGGGTCCCTCGATAGCACCTCTCGCTTTGGTATTGTCCTCTTCCTGTTGCCCAAGTCAACGGACTCGTTCTGAACACGGCTGCCATAGATCTCTAGTCCATTGGGAGAGAGCTCTAGTTGTAGCTCGAAAGTAATACCTTGAAGCAGAATTAGGTGCCAACCGAGAGGGATTAGGGTTACCTCGTCCTCTGGAATCCGAGCTAAGGTATGGAAAGCACGCGTGCGCAGTCTCTTCTTCAACGTCGTGTGTGCGACCAATGAGTGCACGCGTCGTCTCGTTGGTTAAATACGTCATGGGATGGTAGATTATTCGATGCAGACAAAAGGAAGCTAAAGCAGGGTCACGTGACCGACGTCCGGCGCCTTGCTGTGGACCGGCGACGACGTCATGATGTAGATCGACTCGCTGTCGCGCGCCTCGAGGACCGCCGGGTCGTTGGCTTCGGTGCTCGAAATCTTTGGCTCGCCGGCTTCAGCCCCCGTCACAGCTTCATGAACCATCTTGTGCCAGTCGATAAAGAGGAAGCGGATGCCCATGATGGTCACCTTGACGGCCGCGGCTATCGTCGTAGCCATCCACACGCCCGGAAGCCCAAGGCCCTTCATGATACCAAAGTAGTAGGCCAGTGGGAGCTGGACGCCCCAGAGTCCGACGACCGTCACGATCGTCACAAAGCCCATTTGGCCCATGCCTTCGAGTGCTGTGAGGAGCCCGATCCCAAGTCCGTTCAGACTGGAAGCCGCAATGTACCACGGAAGGACGTCCGTGTACATGGCCAGCAGCACCTCGTCCTTCGTGAAGAGACCGACGACACCAGCGCGGCCAGCCCAGAGCACGATGCAGACAAGCAGAGCAGCAAGTGCAAGGACGGCAAAGCCCATCATGGCGCGGGCACGAGCGGCGCGGGGTCGACCTCCGCCAAG